GAACCACCCTTTTTAAATAAGGATTGAAGAAGGCAATTATCTAAAATTTCAATGTTTCTATCAGTATTAAGTCAACCTTCAAATAATTAATAGCATTTAAGTCCTGCATAATTTATGTAGGCCCAAAAGTCTACACTGCCATTACCTTGCTTGGTTGGTTTTCACGTACAATTCAAATCAAATTACTCTTGAGGTGATCGCCATAGCAGAACACAAAGCAATAACATATTCTTGCATATCTACCTCAACATTCATTTTGTCTGAGAATATAACATTTCACCACTTTCTGTCGTGTTTCATCAAGCAAATTAATTTTATTAATTAAAAACGTTTATCTCATTGTGTTGCCCACCAGATAATCCAGATCCATAATGTCATCTGTTTCAGTATAAGATTTTCAAATATGTGAATATTTAATATTTAACTTATTGGCTATTTGACGAGGAGATAGTACTTGGTTTTAAATAAAAATAGATTTGTAACATGTTTTTTCAGATAATCTCAACCATAATTTTGGAGTTTCATGCTGTATTACTTCACTCGTTATGAGACTTTTTTAATATCTAATTTATTTGTGTTTTCATCAGTACTATTTCAAAATTAGAAATTTAGAGTTATTAAAAGCTTATGAAAATCAAATTAAATTATAAAAAAAAATCATTAATATATTACATTAATTTTAAAAATAAAGCAGTAAGCATTAATTTTTAACGATCAAAAAAATTTTTTTTAAATATAGTCGATGTTAAAAAGTTACATATAAATAGGGATACAAATGAAATTTTATGGTAACAACTTGTCCATTAAATAAAAAACACAATACTTATTAATTAGAAAGAATAAAATATTTAAAAAGTCAACTAGTTTTAAAAGTAATTTAAGCAAACAGGATATATAAGTAAAAATGCTCTAATTAATGGCCAATGGTGTATGTATCATATATATATGTATGTATATATATATATAATATATATATATATATATATATATATATATATATATATATATATATATATATATATACTGTATTGTATTACATAGTATATTATGCTTAAACATATATTATTATTTTTAACATTTTTCAGAGTTTGATTTGTATGCATTAAATGTGTTTGCATACAATTGTTGTAATCGTGTTGTTATATAATATGCACACAAATTTATTGGATACAAATTGTATATAATATATAGTTAAATGATTATGATATATTATAAAAACTATATTTTATAGTTTATATTACCTATATTATAAAAACAAATATAAATTAAATGCAAACAAATCACATAAACTATGTAACATAAATTTATATTTAACTTATATATAAATATTTTATTTTACATACTTTATAATTAACTTGTGAACTTTTTAGCCTTATTTTTTTTGCATTCATATTATAATCATTCACATATAATTATATATATATATATATATATATATATATATATATATATATATATATATATATATATATATATATATATATATATATATATATATATATATATATATATTAGCTACAGACGTGTTCAAATTATTAGACTAAAATTTTTTTCTCGTTTTTTTTTTATTTTTATAAAAATATTACAGATATAACGTTCGTAAATATAAAAAAAACCTAATTAATACTTGGTATGGAGCCCCTTGGCTTTAATAAGCATATTAATGCGGCTCGGCATGCTTTCTACCAGAGTTTTACAAATGTTTTTGATGTCTTCGTCTTGATGCCATATTTGTATCAGTTTTTCGATGAGTTGCACTTTGGTGGTAATTGTTTCTTTCTTGATCTTTTTCTTTACAACAGCCCACAAATTTTCAATGGGGTTCATGTCGGGACTATTTCCTGGCCACGGCAATGTCTTGATTCTGCTCTGCTGAAGAAATTCTGTCACTTTTTTGGCTTTATGACACGGAGCCCCATCGTGCATAAAAATTACATCTCCCTCTGGAAACCATGTCTTAATTTGGGGCATTAACCTATTTTGTAGCACTTTAATATATTGTACATGATTCATGGTGCCTTCTACGATGTACAACATTCCCGGTCCGTGTATTGACATGACACTCCACACCATAACAGACGTTGGATGCTTGACACTCTGGCTAACACACTCTACCTTGAACTCTTCTCCTGGTTTTCTTCAAACATATTGGCTCTGTTCTTCCACCACCAAAAAGATGGATTCATCGCTAAAACATACCTGGATATAATAAATATACAAATGAGTACACAGAAACACTTTGCAAAAAATTACAGATAAAATTTGAGAGATTCTTTAGAAAAAAAAATTGCCTAAATTTTTTTAGAACTCATCTTCATATTTAAAATAAATTTTGATATCAAATGTTAAGTGAAAACTCTCAAAATGACTTTGAATACAATTTTTGCATACATTTTACCTTAATCCAGTCATAGATAGACATGTTTTCATGAATTTTAGCCCATTCTAGCCTCTTTTTAGCCATCGCTGGTGTAACCTTTTGTTTTTTTCGTGGACGACG